ATGCGCGATATACACAGTAAACACACAGTCCTCTCATCACAGAGGGGAGCTAAAGACTAACAATTTCACTGCAGGCTCAACCTCATAATCTCCCTGTTCAGTCACTAGCGATGGAGCCTGGCTCAACATTTTCTATTATAACCCTCTGGAGAAAATGAAGAGGAATGATGGTTCCAAAAGCTCAAATTACCCAGAAAAACAAAAACCCATTTTTAGGCTAGACACAGAATAATTCATATTATTGTAGCTTAAACATTTCCCTCACAAATAAGCTAATAACACAAGTATGGTCACCATAAACCTTAGGGGAAATAAAGCATCCAAACTTCAAATAATGCTGCATACAACAAATTAAAAGGATAAACACACACATTAGTACTTATGAACACATGCACAAAGTACAAAATGATGATGCCCTGCATATTGGTGGGATGGGAAACCTTCAGGTCTTACAGTAGAGCCATCAGTATTATCTGTGTTATTAAAGTTGTAGTTTTTCAGATGGATTTCTTAATTGGTGCTGCCATCTCCTCTTGAAGAGCTCTGCCAAATAACCATAAATTGTCCACTCCAGGCTTCCATACAGGTCAGTCTATTAGCAACCAAAGAGCTGCTCTTCTCCTCTGTGTTACTACCACCTGGGAATAAATTGGCTTCACCATATCTAGTTAATTCTTGACAGCACACACTTGTATTTTTTCTACTAAAGCTTTTATATTAAGCCAGTGTAGTACTAACTACTGTTTTTTTTGTACTCGAGGTGAACTGAAGTAAGAGTTTTTGCCATTTTTGTCAGCAGTTGTGACGATTCACTGTGTGTTGTGTGAATGCAGCTGTGACTGTCAGTGTGTCATCACTGTCCCCTGGTGGGACGCACAGAGTGTGTCGCATCTGTGAGCTCACCAGTGGCACATACATGCAAGCTACACACACACACACACACACACACACACACGTACTGCTTGATGCGTGTGGTCATCAGATGTGCATCTAAACAGACAGAACAGACACCTGCTGTTGCTGATGCAGAGCTGCCGCGGCCTCCTGCCATTTTTGGAACCAGCGCAAATGACTTTTACACCGGTGACACTGTGTGAGGTGAAAGTGTGTGTGACTGTGGCTGCTCATAGCTCAGTGTGTAGACCTGCCAAAAGAAGGCTTGGCAACATTCAGAAAAGCCAGGCACTGGAAATCTGTCTGTGGTTCATTGCAATGCTCCTTGAAGTTACAGCTGTTGCACTGTGGAGAGTAGCGGTGTAATGTGGATTCATTCATTGGATTAAGATGCATTCACTGAACTGCGTTTGGTCTCTGTTCTCAGCTGTCGCACGAGCAACAGAAAGAGTCTGATTGTGACATCCAGCACCTCCCCCACCCTGCCACGACCACACTCACCTCTGCATGGACACACAGGTAACACACACACTCAGACAAAACACACTGTATGTACTCTCTCGGACAGTTTATGTCTAAAACGGTGTAAACATACCATGTTACCTGCAGAGTTTTGATCCACAGTTTGAAAACGAATAAAACGCCACCGTTTTTTAAAGCAGAATGTAGCAGCATCCTCTGGAGACCGTAAAAATCCACAGCCGCCTTTAAAGCAACGTGGCCAATACACGTGACTCACTGGACGGAGAGAGACAAACCAGCTGACATCGCCGTCTTTAGCAGTACCTGATACATAAATGACAACAAAAACACAAAGATGTTCTAGTAGCACCGTGAGTCTCAGGGATGTTCATTTGTTCCTCATCAGCTGAAAGGTGTGTGTAGTAACGGCATGTGAGGTTTGTTGCTTCCTATCACACACCAACAAAACTCCATTAACAGTTCAGCCAGCACACTGAGCTCAGCACAGCGCAGACAGATATTTGACTGCAAGGATTAAAGCGGAAGCCTGACTGATGACTGATGATGCTCCATGAGAGACTGACCCTGGCCCTGCTCAGGACTCTGCCTGCAGACCTTGTTCATTCAGCCACGCACTGCTTCCCTGTTAATCTATTACATGGGCCGATGTATTTGATCGGTTTCTGCATCAGACCCAAAATTTAGGTTTGAGAGTCTGACCTGGACATTTTGCCTAACTGCAGTCTACATCAGCAGTAATATCACTTTGGACTTTGATGGGTTTTTTTTTTTTTTGCCATTTCTAAATCTGACATTAATAATAAAAATGTTGATTACATCCTTTAAAGAACGAAAAGGAAAGTCTAAAAAACAAACACCATAACAGAGTGTGTTGTGTTCTGTTTGCCTTTTCCGGGTGATGTTGGTTTCTTTCACTCCATCCTTCGATCTCTTCTTCTTTTTCTCCTTCCTCTGTCCGTCTCCATTCGCCAGGCTGCTGTGGCTGCTGTGTTGCCATGGTAACGTTGCCACCAGTCTCGCCGTCGTCCTCACGTTCTTGTCTTCTCTGTGTGTCAGGCCGTGCCGAGGAAACAAATACTGCTAATTAAATGTCACAAATTAATGTTCCTGGTTTTCATTTTCTCTCCTGTGTCTTCAGCCTTTTCTCCTGCTAAGTGATGCTGTTTAGACTTAATGGCTCTCTCCTCTAACACATGTTTTTCCTAATGTTTATACCTGATAAATATCTGCCCTCCACGCTACTGATTTATGTAGGTGCATAGTTTGTCACTAATGGGATGTTTTCACATTTCTCTGCAAATGTGTGTTTGCGTTTGGTAGTACCCTGAGTGCTAACGGTTAGCTCTGTTACTAGATTATGTTTTGGATCAACTGAGTGAGATAAAGTGATACATACATACTGTCAAACTCTCAGCTGGACAGTAAATACGTTTGCACATTTTCTTAGAGTAATTCTTGTGAATGGTAACAGCAGAGAGCAGAATGCAGCGCGTTAGCTAACATGCACTGAATTTGTTTTGTTAGCCAAGGAAGCTACTTAGTTGACATTACAAAATAAATCCAGTATGTTACATTTCCTTTTAATCATTTTAAACCACCTTCCCAAGCAAATAGCTACAAGACGCTAACCTCCCTCACCAGCAGTCTGCCAAGCGCTGAATGTAGAGAATAAGACTCCGGGTCTGAACAAGGCTCCAATGTATAAGACTATATATACACAAATATTCGGTGATGTGCTGTCATATCCTGATACAGAGTAATTTCACCTTCTACCTGGTTAATGCAGCGGAGGTGGGCAATCGGACTTATTTTCATATATTTGAATATTCATAATCTTGGGAGTGACAGTGAAGGGCAAAGACCAGTCATGTATTCAAGCCCTTTTTTGTGGAAAAACTTAGCAAGGGACTTTTATATGCTTTGAAATGTTTCTGGAGGGTATCTTTAAATGTTTGGATCAAAGCTTAAATGGAGTTTCAACCTTATGCCGAGTTTGGTATTATCATCACAGAAACTTTCTATAATCTGTTGAAGGCTGTGATAGGCTGGTACTTTACTGATTAATATGCAACACTGGAGGCAATTAAACCTTGCCTTCATTTCTAGAGACCATCTTTATGCACATATGATTGCATACAGATTCCATCATGGTTTCAATCATCCAGCCATTTGCTGCTAATCAAACAGATTCCTCGGAGTCTGATATCCCACAGGGCTCACGAGGACCAGTCATCTCCAGATATGACTTTTATTAAATGTTGAAAGTTGGCATAAATTTCTCATTGCCATTTCTGCTGTCTTCTTTTTCTCCATAACACCACCTTTAATTTTCCATCTCTTTTACTCTACATCTTCTCTTTATCTCCCTTTCCACCCTGAACTTTCCTCTCTCCAACTGGTCGACAGCCGGCTGTTATTTGGTAAAGGTCAGGTGATGATTGGCAGCTCTGTGTGCTCCGACTTCTGATGAGTTCTAACAATCCACCACTTTTCTTTGTAATTCTAATGAAGGACAAAAACGGAGGCAGCAGGGATTCAAGCTTTTCTCTTGTTCACTTTTCGTCACATTTCAGAGAGAATGCATGTTTTTTTTTTCCTTTTCTTTCCGCCCCCTCCTCAATTATAGCTGTATTTTGTTATCCCAACCACAGTCTCCCCGGAGAGGCAGTGAGGGAGCGAGACTAAAGAGGCACAAAGCAGATATTGCATTTGCATTTATCTTACATGCCGGTATATTTTTTGCTAAAGTAGGTCAGTGTCACTGCAGTTTGCAGCAGAAAGCTTTCTAAAAGTGTGACAGCAAAGCAGCCATCATACCTGTAGTGGTGAGACCGGCGACCAGCTGCACTCAGCTGTAGTTTACATTTCACCTGAGCCATTAGTGTTTTACCTCACAGGAAGTGCAGTGTATTATTCAAGTATGATTTGATTTTACTGTAACCAGCCTGTAATTTGCCCTGGGCCCTGGTGATTTTCTAATGAGAGATCAACACAGAAACCGGTGACCTGTGGCTTAGGAAGATACAGCTGTGAGTGGTGACGCCATGTTGGCCAGAGGGACAGACACAAAGCCTGAACAGATGGATAGCAACCAACCAAACCGTCATCTCGGAGCACGCAGCTTACCGGCCTTTGTCATGATGGGTAAATCTGAGTCAGTCTGCTGAATTAATACATTCATTTATCCGCTTATTTATGCTCACGTCACCAACACGTTATCATGCAAATGTGGCTCAGAAGCTCCAACCATCCTCCACACACACACACACACACACACACACACACACACACACACACGTAGTATACGCACACAGTGAAATGTGACGGTGCAGTGACTGAGACCGCTAACAACGAGACCTCTTCAAATATAACCTCAGCACATGAGGCGTTTCACATCAGGGCCACAGACACTAACAAGCATGTTCGACTGATGACACACTTGTGCACCCAAGTATGTGCACACCCGTTCTGCACTCCAGCCACAGACAGAAACACAGATTCCCTGACTGGAAGCAAATGCTGGTATTAATATTTGACTTTGCAGACATGCTGCTGAGGAAAATGTATAATTGATGTGGAAATGTCCGACTACTTCATCTCTCCTCCTGTCTCTGAGGCCGCCAGCCTTCCCTCTCCCATCTATCTGTGTCGCTGTATATGTGTGTGTGTGTGTGTGTGTGTGGGACATGTTCACCCCTTCGCCCTGTACTGAATGATTAGTTACACAGCGACACTCGTAGCGCTGTGTTTTCTCTGCAGATAGGCTGGCATTGAACATTCATTCGTGACCCTGTAGCGTTCTTATTAAATAATCTCAGGTTTATTCAAAAGGCAACCATCTGTTCTCTGAGTGTCGGCTCCAAAGTCGGACGTTCAGTCTGTGCTGCAGGTGCTTTGTGCATGGAAATGTTTCTCTCTCTAGCACTGGATTGCTGTTTCATTTTCACTTCATTATTCAGTGTAATATGGTGTTCATCTGTTTTTGTTTGGGGGGACAGATGCATCTGTGCTGTAATCGTCATTTTCAGTCGACACAGAAAACTTCTGGTTCTACAGAGAGCTACACACGCATCAACACACTACTGGCAAAATGGTGCAGATGCCGTACCACTGGCAGTTAGGTCAAAATAAAATCCAGGTTCAGTACTAATGCAACCAACCCAGCTGATTTTATAGGAGGCTGAACTGCTACGAATATGTAACACAAGTAAATCATTCTGCCTGTTTGTCGCAAAAAGCAATAAAATGTGCAGTACACACTGTATTATAATAATAATGATAAAGAATTACAAAACTTAGGTAAATACATAAATATAGTAAAATACCAAATAAAAACAGCAGCAGATAAAGCCAAGACCACTTTGAACTCAGTGGGAATAGTGTCCAGATTTTTGCCTTGTAGTGTAGAAACAGAAACTTGTTTTTCACTTGAGGCTTTAGTATTTGGAGCCTGGGGAGTCCCACTGCATAATCATAGTGTTCAACACATCGACTAACTGCCTTATGTGCAAATCCATATGAAGCTAATAATTCACCACAAGGAATTTAATTCACCTACAAGGTAATACTGTGTCACGGCTACCTTGCAGTACTAGTACGAGACCCGGCAGCCTTTTGATTGTGTTCTCTCCTCTTCTCTGCCATGCATCCATCCCTCCTTTCATGTTTCCTTCTGAATGCTGTCATCTTTCTTGTTGTGATTCCTTTGTCTCTGCATCTTTTCTGTTGCAGCTGTGCAGCAGTGCAGATGTTCTCCTCCTCTGTCAGAACCCACTTCTGCTCTCCACAGACAGAGGAGACAGATTAGTCAGCCCTCTTATCTCTCTGACCTCCACCTTCCTCTGAGCTGCCGGTCACCTAATGAGACACTCCATCAAGCCCTCAGCGTCCGTGTCCATCTCTCTCTGGCCTTCATCACAGCCCCTTTCTCTTATTTTTGTTGCTTGCAATTTAATTCGTCCCCATCACTTGAGAGTGTTGTCTTCCCCCCAGACAGTATGCCCTCCCTTCACTCATTCTGCTCCTGTCTTGTTGAGGGCCAGGTAATGGAACATGGAGGAGGAAAAAGAAACAAGCAGAACACTTCACACACACACTCAGCTTTCATACAGCTCATTATTTACTCATTTGTCTTTCAGCTTGTCAGCTTGGTTTCACACAGCCTGCTACATCTCGACCCAAAATGTTTCACCGGGTTTCTATGAAATAGTATTTAGATTCAGCAGTTTGGTGTTTTTACTGAAATGTACCCTGGGAGTCTGAGTTGCCTTCTGTTCTTCACCTTTTATGTCTGTGGTCTTGTAGCTTTGACATTTTATCATGGATTCAGTTATTTTTTTCCACAGCTGTTGATTATTTATACTGATAACTCAACCATGAAGGTTTTGCGTCCTTCCCAGATTTAAAGAGCTCCAGCTGTGAGTCACCTGGAACATTGGACTTTCAATAAAACTCCTTTTGCTTCACGATGCTGTTAGTCTTCATCTGTTAAAATGTGTATGGGTTTATAAACATGTCGGTCCCATTCACTCAGTTTCAGTCACTGAGCAGCTCCACAGGGCTAAAAGCATTTTTGCAGGCTGTTTTTGTTACTTTGAAAATGACAAGCGTTAACGAAATGTGCTTGACTTCATGATCAGTTTGTTGTATTTACTTTGACATAGAGTGTTTTGTTTTAGAGCAGCTTGTTTTCTGAGCTTGCTCCTCCTCCATGATGCCAGACGCTCTGTCAGTATTCTGATGAACAGCCTCAGACCATGTCTGACGTTCCCATGCTAAAACAACAGAGATGATGTACTGAACATTCAGCAGGGGTTCTGTTTAATGTGCTTACATATTCCTCCTCCCCTCCTTTCTCTCTGTCAGGTACCAGCCCACTGGACAGCCCTCGCAACTTCTCCCCCAACACAGCTGCACACTTCTCTTTTATTCCTGCACGCAGGTGAGATACGCATAAATACACACCTAGAAAACAAAGTCAGTGAGTCTTGTAGCTGGGATGACAGAATCACTAATGTAAAACCCTGCTTGCAACCTGGGTTATAAAAATAGCACTGGCTACACAGAGGTTCTGTTTTTCGTTTTTAATCGTCAGGAACTGCAACAGAATCAGCACCTCTTTAGCATGTTCTCCTCATTTCCTCACAATCGGAGTTTTCCTAAAATCCTCACCGTAGCCCTGTTGGTATTCCTAAAGAATGAATCTCGGATAATATATGGACACTGTTATTGAAAGGTTCCAAATGATAGGCGGTCCATTCTTGGTTGGCAAAGCACAAAATCAGCAGCTTCTTCACTGTTCTTCACACATGACAGTTAATACTAGTCAGCACAAAGCACGGTGGCCAGACAGGAAGTGAAGATGATCTGCCCAGATAGATGAGCTGTGCCTCAGCTGTCTGAAAAGCTGCGACGTAGCTCCGCGGCCTCTGGGCTGCTGCTGATGAGCAGGCAGATGATCACTCTGAGGCTGTCACTCAAACCAGGATTAATAAACCTCTAATCAGTCTCAGCTCTCAGCACTGATAGCAGCTACTGAAAGGGAGGGAGCACGAGTGTGTGTGTGCCTCTTGTGTTTGGGGGTGCGTGTGAGCATTTATGCATGTAAGGTAAAATAGTGTTTTTCTGAGCCTGACATATGTAAAAGAAATTACTGCAGGCCTGCCTCTTAAGCCTTCATTAAGAAGATGATGTTTCCATGGTAACACTTGACCCACTGAACCCCCTCTTCATGACAACATCATCAAACACTGTGTGAGAGCTGTGCAGCAGCCAGACAGGGTGTTACTGTTGATTTGAATTGGAAATCCCTCCCTGTCCGGCTGCTGACCTCGGCGCTGCAGCTGCAGACGTGACAACAGCACCACCACGTGGTGGAGCTGGATATGACGCAGTAGAGGCTGGTTGTGGAAAAGGTTCTGTTTTTAATTTCACTTCAGGTTTTGATCATCTTCATATTTACACCAAAATCTCAAACTGTCACCTGAAATAAGAAAAAATAGAAAACAGTTTGCAACAGTCCTACAGCTCTGCTGTTCTCAGTTCAAACCTGTGACACTTTTGGTTTTCATTTATATTGTATAAATCCCAAGGTTTGTCTAGAGCATCTCCTTATTAATGAGGACATGTCCTCCTTAGCTCTTCAGGTTTCTAACAATAAAATGTCAAAATGTCAAAAGTCCTGACACATTAGTATTATTATAATTTTGAACAGAAGCAGGTTTATGATGAGAATAGAGATATTTTGGGTTATTTTATAGTTTTATGGTTGCAGCATATTTAATTCTGTATCTATTGACATATTTATTTCTCTAATGTTTCATTTATTTATTTAATACTGAACACTGTGAAGTCAGGAGCTTGAGCTGATGCTGTAAAAATAACTTTGCTCTTTAAAATCATTTTGGAGGAAAATCTGAATGTTCTCAGCCCCCTGCAGCCTCTGAACACTTACACTGACATTGTGTTTGTTTAATGTTTCGACTCAAACCGAGCCCGAGTGGAGATATGTGTGAGTGTGTGAGGTCATGTGACTGACAGCTGCTAGCAGCGATAAAAAGAAAACCAGTGTCTTGTCTCCCTCACAGCCACGGACACAGAGCTGACAGGTAACCTCTGAGTTCTCTTTCCTCCCTCTTCCTTCCGCCACCTCCCTGCCCCACGTCCTGCATGGCTGAGTGTACACACTCTGAATGACATCCACAAGTACCCTGCAGGGTCTCCTCTTCTGCTGCTGAACTGTCTGTGCATGACACGCCCTGAACAGGAGACAGCCTTCCCCACACTACCTTCACTTCTGGGTCCCAGAGATCAATAACACAGTGTTAAGAAATTCTTGGTTAAATATTTATTGTTCCTGAAAACATGAGCCTGGTGATATTCTGTAGTTTTCCTCACCACCACTACTAACCAATCAAATGAATAAAAAACCCATCAGTGACCACACGGCTGCACTGGGTGACATGTTCACCATGAACACACACTCTGCACTTTACTTTCAGTCCCACACACACCGTCCTGCAGCCACAAATACTCAATGGAGACCAAATGTGGATTCATCCGCAACTGAAACTAGTCCCCAACAGATGCATTGTTTCCTCCTGTTTGTTTGATAAAACCTACAGTGAGTAGCTGTTTTAGGAAATTATTGAGGTTCTTTGTGTTTTTAACATCCTTAATCAATGAGCTTGGAGCTGAGCCCCACCAACAGGACAGCGCAGTTAGAAAGTACTGAGAGGCGAACTAATATTGGTGTGTTGCTTGTTGATATAAGAACAGCTGGCTCGCGTCTGAATAAATCCAAGCAAAAAGTGTAAAACCCAGCTGCAGGTGAGGTGCAGACAGGTGGGACTGGCTGTCGGGTGTGGACTCCGTCCTGCTTCACAGTCTCTGTGCATTCACCTCACGGCTTTTCCTGCACCTCTGAGTCTATGTGTTTGCATTTTCCTTCTTTTAATTGAATCACCTTTTTGCTGTATGTCATGGTGCTGCACCTTCTTCACATGGTTGTTGTGGAATAGGTGTTTAAATATTAAAAATATGCATGTGTCTTCATCCCTTTAGTCTTTAACTCTTTCTGTCTCTCTCTGCAGGACGGATGGCAGACGCTGGTCCCTGGCCTCGTTGCCTTCCTCTGGCTATGGCACCAACACTCCCAGCTCTACTGTCTCGGTAAATATCCTCACTATTTTTTTTTTGTCTCTACGAGTGATCGTATGTTATTTTATAGTGAAATCCAGGGACAGAAGCACCTTCTGCTCTTCTTTTTTCCTCCCATCTGATGTCCTCGAGTGGACATCTGCTTCCTGTTCTGCCTCCCGCTGTTCCCTCCTTCATTCCGAGACTTATAAACACTTCTCTTCTAGTCCGCCTCCCTCTCCTTTACTTTCTGTTCTTCCTTCATCTCCCTTCATGATTCCCCATGTTGCAGTTTCTCTGTATGTGTAGAATGAAGCTCAGCAAAGGCTGAGTTATCTGGCTGTGCGTGCTCTTGACTGCTAGCATGCCTGCTTACTTTAGGGATTTTTCCATTATGGGAACCCACTGAAACGTGTCGCACCAAGTAAAGCTCGTCACACGGGTCCTTCATTTGTTTGGAGGTGCATTCTGGGAGCTAAATTTTGGTACCCCTCAGGAGGAAGCACTAAAATCAAGTACCAGGACTGTGGCGGGGGAGGGGGTGTGTACGCACAGAGCGGTGTTGATTATTTTCTTTAACAGGTAGATGTTATAAACTCAGTTGAAAAGAAAATTCAGAGCACAGTAACATTTGATCAGACCCATCCATACAAATCATAGGTGACACCCGTCTCAGTCGAGTCATGTCACTCGCTGCCTCATACTTGTATATTTATGGGTGAACTGCTCCAGATTAATAGTAGCTTTGAATAGACGTGTGACAGCTGAAAGTTTGAAGAGCCGGGAGAACAACACACAGCCCAGTGTTTAGACCAGCCTCAATCCCAGCCTAACCCCCCTCCTCCTCCTTTAACTGGTTACAGTAGTTAAGCCTAGTCGTGGCCTCGCCCCAGCCTCACCCACAGTAACCCCCAGTGCTGGTTGTAATCTGTGCTCCCTCTGTGCTCCTCCTCTCACAGTCCTCCTGTTCATCTCAGGAGACGCTGCACCAGCTGCCCTTCCAGCCCACACCGGACGAGCTGCACTTCCTCACCAAACACTTCAGCTCTGAGAGCATCACGGACGAGGAGGGACGCCGCTCCCCTGCCATGAGGCCTCGCTCCCGCAGCCTCAGGTAGGAGCTCTGTGCCTTTTATAAGATGCAGTGCCCTTGCATCGGGTACAGCTGATGTTCAGGCCGCAGTGACAGCACATGCTGCAAACAAGGTGTGAGGGTCCAGTCTTTGACCTGCTTTATGGCACCATACAACTGATAGAAGTGAAACTACCCAAATAGGACCCAGGCTGTAATAAATAACCTTTGTGACCTTTCTCTTTCAAGGTCCCCAGGGTTAAACCACGTTGTTGGGGTGACCATGCTTTCTATAAGTGTTAGATCTGTCTCTGACCTGTCAGAGTTTAAATCCTTATTAAAAACATATTTAGTTCCTTCGACCTACAGTCCCTAGTGGAGTCTGCATGTTCTGTCATTGTTA